GGATTAAAAATATTTCTCAGAAAATTCTGTAAAAACAAAGATGAGAAAAAGACCAATAAAAATTCATAAATGCTAACAATGCTTCATGTCACAAATAACAATCCAAAACTTTTTACTAATTGAACAACTAAGAGAGACTCTTTTGTGATAGCTGTGACAACATCATTGAATAGCAGAGACAATTACAAGTCAAAACATTTCTGCTTTATTTTTCTGAAACCTGTTGTAATATCTTTAAAAAAGCGTTTTCTTCATTAAACACTGTCTTTATATTTACCTTGAACCAAAGAATGTTTAAAAAAGTAAAAGAAACAAATGTAAAAGAGAGAGAGAGAGAGAGAGAGAAAATACAAAATACAAGAAAATACAAAATAGTTTTACTTAAAATTCATTGATAAAAAAATATAAAAATGAAAGCAAAAAAGAGAAATTTGTGCGTGTGATAAATACAGACACATGTAGATTTTAGAAGAGATTAAACAAAATGGAATAAAAGTTTTAAATGTTAGCTTTTTTTTTTTTTAGAAAAAGGATTTCCTCAGTGTCTTATTCTGTTCTTCTGAATCTCAGAGAGACTATGCACACACTGTTCAATGATTATTTGTGAATAAAGAGGCTCTATCAATAATTCTATCCACATGACATGACAATGATGGTTCTTCTGATAACAATGGCTATCATTTAAAATCCCAGGGCAGTTAAAAAAAGAAAAAAAAAAGAACTCTTAATATCTGGCAGTTAATTAGTCAACAACAATCTATAAATTTGAAAGAATTAAATAAAAGTCTGGAAGAGATCCAAGTTGGGGGGGGAAAAGTTGCATATCTAAAAAATATATATGTATGTACACACACATATTATACACATAACTTTTAGCAAAATATATCAATTTCAATTAACAAACATAACAGATGATCACAATCAGAAAAGCACTCAAAATATGCAAGAAACATGCCAAAAGGCCTTTGAATAGGAAAATGAAAAATATTAAAAAAGGTGAGCTAGCAAGTACTTTTGATTTGAGAATTTTTCCTGATTGGATTTCATTTATTATGATATCTTTTGATATTAAATTATAATTGTAATGCAATCAGAACTAAAACATCTGTTGATTTACGGAGTGAGGAACAGTGACCTTGTTCAAAAGATACTATTTTATAAAAAGAGGCTTTAAAAATAGTATTCTTAGTGTTATGATGCAGCGTTGAAAAATCTAAAATCAAATAGTGTACCAAAACTCAAATTAAAAGCAAATTTATATGGAATTTTCAGAAGTTAGTGCAATGTTTTATTTTTAATAAATGTATTACCAGATGCTTGTACATTGACTGTTCATATTATATAATTGTAAAACAAAAGTAAATATCATGAAAGTTTTCTTAATGTCTCTCATATCTCAAGTGTATGATTTACAATTTCTAATTTGGCCGGAGTAACTACATTTTTTTAAATTTTTCTACATGGTATAAAGAAAAAGATGGTAATATATAAACACCAAATTATTTTTTTAAAAAAATGCTGCAATTTTACCATAAAGGATTATATCAGAATGCTTAAAGATTGTAGGAAAAATATCACTTGCAATGTAGTATTTGAAGAATTTTTGTGCAAGTCCTTCCAGAACAGCAATAACATTAACCCCCGTAAAAGGTAGACAGAGAGGATAAAAATGGAAACCATTAGAAAGAAATTTATATCTGAGATTAATAACTTAAAATAACCCAATCACTTAGAAAAATGTGAGCAAATAAAAATTACTGAAGAAAAAGTAGAATAATACAGGAATCCCTTGATTAGTGTGACTAATTTGTACATTGGTAACTATAAAAAATCAATTTTCAATTACTATGGTTAAACTGAAGAATGTTTCAGCACACTAATCAAGTATTATGTATACACTAATTAAATTTTAGTATATAAAATTTTTTAGCACACTAATCCCAAATGTATTAATCAAATGCACATTAATCAAGAGATGCCTGTATTGTTAAACTTCCATATTTTGAGTTTTTTTCTTTAAATAGTTGGAGACAATGAACAAAGGAAAAAAGAAAAAAAAGGTTCAATGGATCATGTAGTATGAGTGGTGTTAATTTGCTTAACAGAAAAAATGTAAAAAAACAAAACTGGTAGGAAAATCATGTTTTAATCAACATATCCCCAGCCCACCATAACTTGCATAAATATTGACTTTTTGGAAAAAAGTATGTTGCTATAGGATATTTCTATAAGTTGCATTCATTAAGCATTAGGATTTGAACCAGAAATCCTATATCAATTTATAATTATTATGTATTTGATCAAATAAAATGACATCTTTCAATACTCAATTAAGTTAGCTATTCCTGATATATATCACCTACATGACTGGAAAATAAACTGAAGAAATTTTATTTTTACTCTAGGCTTATCAAGTAAAAATTACTTCTGGTGAGAAGGAACATTTGAGTTAGAAAAATCATTTTAGTTCATAAGTAAGAACCTAACATGTATCTTAAGGTTTTACAAATTTAATTTTGTTCTTTTTAGAGTATATAAGAAAAAAAATATTCATCAAGGTCTAAGCTTCTCAATATACTTGACTTTTTATGTCAAAAGAACAAGTACAGTAAATATTTTATTACTATTTCAAATGAAACTTGAAGATTATTTATTTTACATCTCTTACAAGTAAACACTTATAAACCAAATTTCTTATTAAATGAAGGAGTAACAAGAATTAAATTACAAATAAGTTATTTTAAATCATTTTCAGAATATATTTTCAAGTCATTAATGAAGAAAGAGGCACAAGACAAATTGGCATTTCCATTTTGTCTCTGACTCACTTCTAACCAAGTGCTGCTATATTACTGAGCATTGGTGATTAAAGTCTAATATTTAAAGTTTCCATGATTCACTTTTTGATATAAAATATCAATGACTTATTCTGAAATTTTATTAATTCATATCTGAACAGAGGTTAAAGAAATTGTTTCAAGTAAAAATTCAAGTCAAAATAAAATAGGACTTCAAACAGTTAAACAATGACTGAGCAAAATTGCATATTATCAGAATTTTTTTTAAAAAAAGAAAAAAACAAACAAAACAAAGAAATAAACACACAAACACACACACAAAAGAAAGAAAAAAAAACAGAACAAAAACCTATTAAAAACAAAAAATGAAATATCTAAATAAGTGGGGGACTTCTTTTATTTCAAATATTTTTTTCATAAAGATTCGGTCTTGTAAGGTGGATGCTGTTAATAACTCAATAATGTTTACTAATATCATTATCATTGTGATAATTCATATTGATATCATTGTCTTCACTTTATCCTATATCTGATGTTGGAAGAACAGACAAAAGAAACAACATCCAAAAAAAAAAAAAAAAAAAAAATAGATGAGATAAGCAGACACTGCTTCTCCCACCAGTCAACCATTCATTGAACAAGATGCCATGAACATCTTTTTGCCAGCCAATCACAACAGGGCAATACTCACATATCACAGGTTGATTTGGGAACTGAACATATCTCAATTTGGAAAAAATAAAATTAAAAAAAAAAAAATAAAATAAAAGGTAATAAGAAAGGAAAAAAAGGAAAGGAAAGGGCATAATAATCATTTTCACTTTCTTTTCTATTTTTCTTTCTTTTAATGTTTAGAAACTCATTTCATATTTTGAGGGAATAGAAAAACGTAATTACTTTGCAGTATTTAGAATGATTTTTGACAATGTGTTCATTTTATTTATCCTTAAATTAGAATAGGTTTATTGTACTGCTGCTGTTGGTTTGTATTCAGTCTTTATAAGAAATGTCACGCTTATTAATAAGTTGCTTTTTCATTGTTAGACAAAGTTTTTCACTCAAAATCCAAAACAAAATTAGTTTTATCCTATTATTAATTCAGGTGTGTTTTATATATATATATATATATATATATATATATATATATATATATATATATCTCCATCCACTGCCGGATGTTAATTTAAAAAATTTAATTTGTTAAAAAAAGAAAAAAAAAGACATTATGCTCAGCTTCAGTAAAAATAAATTCAATTCAAACTGTTATTAAAAAGTTTTTGTTATGTAATAAAAATTCTGTAACATTAAATGATTAGTGTGTGTGTGTGTGTAAGATTGTGGCTGGATGAGGAATAATTTTAAAAAAATCTTTTATGTTGTCTCCCCTCTCAATACATTCACAAATCAAAAAAAAAAAAAAAAAAAAAAAAATATAAGAAAGTAGTAAAACAAGTAAAGAGGGGGGAAAAAGGAAATGAGAAAACAAATCAAATCTCTCTTGGGAGTGAATTGATTTTCACAAAAGATTTGAAGATAAATTTTCCTTTTTATCATTCACTTCCTCTTTCAGTTTTCTATTTCAAACAATTCCCTTTTATTAGTTGTAAATAAGATGCCTAGCCTTTAAATGTGTACGTGTGTCTGCTTTTTCCCTTTTTAAACTGTTATAAGATGACATTAGCCCAGAACTCCTTCTGATGATGATAATTATGAAGTGTTTGTAAAAAAAAAAAAAAAAAAAAAAAAAAAAAAAATTAGCATTGTAAGCAGGAACCAAACTTTTACCATATTATACACAAAACTCTTCATGTGACCTCAAATAGTTTCACTGGAATATAGTGATAAAATTGAGATTGAATGAAGAGAAAGATATCAATAAAAATAAGTTGGAAATAAAAATCAACTAATTGGACCAACAACATTTATCTGCACAGAATTAAACAACATCAGTGCAGGTAAACAGCAGACCAAATATTTAGACAAGCCTAAAAAGGAAATTGTTTGAAATAAAATATTTTCTTCCATTCACTCATTTGTTTTATTCATTCAATGTTTATTTTTTGTATTCTTTCTGCTTCAACACTTATTGGCTCTTTCTCTCTTCTCTAATAGTAATAGTGATAGTAGTATTAATAATAGCAGTATTAATAGTAATAATAGACTATTGTCTAGTCGGGCAGTTTGTAGTGATAAGTCTATCAGTTATGAGGCTTTTGATTGGCTAATTTCCTCTAGAGTCAGATAGATGTCAGGGCACATGGACCAATCTTGTTTCTCTTTACATTCCCAGTAATTTCCTCTATACATATGTATCAGATTTCCAGTGATCTTGTCAGTCTCTTTTTTAAACCAAATAGGTTCATAGCCAGGATATTCCCAACCTGTAAAAATAAATAAATAGTTAGTATCTATTGTACAAAAGCATACAAAACTTAAAGTAAAGAAAGTTTTCTAGAATCTTTATTCAAAGAAATGTTTGTGAGAGATTTTGAATTTACTGAATATTTTTTAAATAAAATATTTTACTTTAGACAAAAAAAAAAAAAAAAAAAAAAATTGTATAGAAGATTTGCTAATCTGCTTTCCTACATGTCCACTAATAAATGCAGCAGAATAACATTTACTGTACAAGTTTCTGACAGATCACTTAAATCCAGAAATATAACTATCACTGAATAGGTTATATTATGCAAATTTCAGTCTGCACAGATGAGTTATGCCTGTAATTTATATTGATAAGTTTTTTGTTTTTTTAAGATACATTTAATGTTATTCATATGAGTATTGTATCATTCACAAGAATATATTAAAATATTCACTGGCAATCCTATTATCTGAGTGTTAAAAAACACAAAAACTGAAATGAAAAAAGACCGAATATATTAGCATTTAACAAAAATGAAATGCTACAATCAAGTTTTCAATAAAGCACTTCAAAAGTATTGCATTAAAACTTTTAAAAATTCTTTGGCAATTCCATTAAGGCCAGCTTTAGTATTTTTTTTTTAAATTACAAAATATAGTATTCCTAAATTTCAAATATATTTTTTATGTCTTAGTTCCAATTAGCAGAGAATTCTGATGATAGTTTAAATAAAACTAATTAATAAAAACAAAAAGGACTTCAAAATGTTTTGTCATCTATAATCATAATCTTAAAAAAAAAAGAAAAAAGTTTTGACAAGATAGATTAAAAAAAAGATTAAAAAATTGTGTGCTTAAAGTTTCCATAAGTTTAATTTGTAATCATCCAAAGATTTGCTTCTTTCATACAGGGCAATTCTTGTGAGACAAAAACGAAACAGATGTGTGTTAGGGTGGGGCCTATTGCATTTTTATTTGAATGTATTGTTTAGTCATATAATTATTGAAATATGATTGTTCATATTGTTTATCAAAATTATAAAGGAAGAGTTTATATATATATATATATATATATATATATCAATAAAAATAAAAGATGTTTAAACCAATTTCAGAAAAAGTTAAAATAAAGTGGTATTGTAGACATCATTTATAACTTAGAAACATTACCAGGTGCTTCTAAATTAAGAGAGCATGAATACAATCTTTTTTACCTGTTTTGAAAAGAAAAGTATTTACATGAAGAAAAAAAAATTCTTTTGGAAAAAATGTCATAATACAAGTATTTTCAAACAATTTTTTATACTTCAAAAATATAAATAAACTGCTCTGTTAAAAATGACATTATTATACAACAAAAACTGAAATCTCATTATTATAATTTCAATTTATAAATACATGTACATAGCTTATATTAAACAAAGTAAAACCGATTTATATGCAAAACAAGACTATTGAAATTTTCCATTCTTTACCTAAAATTTACATAAACAAATTTTGGGAGCAGTTCATTTTAAATAAAAATCAAGTATGTAAAGAAAGAGAAAACAGAATCTGCTTGACAGATAATTTATTCTTTTGATAATTCAACATTTCAGAGGAAGAAATTGTTTCTAGGCAAATAAAATGGGAAGTATTTATAAAATTAAGGACAATATAGAAAGAAAATGAAAATTAATATTTTTGCTTACAAAAATCTTGATTTTAGTTAAACTTTGGTCAAATCATGAATTCTAGGGGAAAAAACACTAAATCTCAAATTTAAAAAATTAGCTTCAAATGAAATATTTCAATTATCAATGACACTGTATTCCTCAATTTTCAAAGTTAAATCTCAGCACTTTGCTAAAATGTTTCAATTTGAACAAAATCCAACATCTTGCATTTGTTAAAGCTGCAGAGGATTTTCATTTTTTAACATTGATTTAAAATTATCAATTATCTGTATACACTCCCAACTTGAATACAAGCTACACCACTGCACATTAACATCACGTCTTTTGGGCATTCTATTTAAATATTACAATTTTACTTCACTTATCTAAAGCAAAACTTACAACAGAACTTTTAACAACTGCAAATCACAGTGTTTTCTAAAACTCACAAGACAAACAAGAAATATGAAAATATCTGATTTAGAATATTTAAGATGTAATTATTAAGCAGCCAGCTTTTTGACAATTAATTTCAACATCTTTCTGCTTCTTCATGCATTAATTAAATTTAAGCTCTATACTAATGTAACAGTTCATTATCTTTTTACTGTAATATTTTTGAAGCAATATCAAATAAGAGAATGTAAGCAATTCATTTTCAAGTAAAGCCAGATAAAATAATGAGCACATGTGGATTTTTTTTACTCCACTACATCACAAATTTGCATACAACAGCAGAATTTTATCCACATTCAACACTGATGCTAAACAATCTAGATTCGCCACACATATAAGCTAAGTCAAAAGTCAGGCAAAACCTCAACATTTGTTCCAATGTATTAATGCGACTTATCAAGTTACTTTTTACTGCAGCCCCTTTCGTTAAAAAAAAAAACAAAAAAAAAAAAAACTTACAAAATTCTGTTTAATATTTTAATTACTGAATTTTTTTTTTAATATAGTTGTTGTTCCTGTGTGATTATGTAGTAAAAACACTCCATACTGCAATCAAATTTAGCTTGAAAACTCTTTTTCAGTTTTAGCACAGCACAATGTTAATCTATATACAACTAAAACTTAGATTGATTGCTTGTAACTAATGTACTAAAACTAGTGCAAAATAATGCCAGGTTCCAAATAGGAACAGAAATTTACTTCAAAATTCAGGTGACTACTAAGAGCTGATTTTTCTGACTTTTGTTTTTCAATTATATAAGATTTGGTCACTATGTTTAAATTGTCATAAATGAACAATATTTTTAAAAGTTCACTTAACATTACAAGAATTCCTTTGATTTCTATATAAAAAAATGAAGCCCCACAAAATTGTATGGCATTGCTATGACTATTGACAGACAGATATTACCCTTATGACTTAAATTCTTCAATCTATTTTTATAACTGTCAAACAAAGATGCTGTACATCCACATTCAAGAAGCCCTGTTTGCAGATGACTATGCACTGATGCCCTGTAAAGCAAGACCTACAGATTTTGTTTACAAAGTTTTGTGAGGCCACTAAACAGTTTGTAGCCATGATCAGTTTAGGAAAAGCCAAGGTGCTTTTCCAGCTCTAATACATTATCACCCTTATTGGTGATAATTTAAAATACAATTGGAAAATTATCTCCAGTGATTGCTCTTAAGGCAAAGAGTTGCCAGCCAGAATTTGCAAAACAAAGAAAACTAAGACAACTATGCAACATGATATTAAATCACCACAATATGATCACAAAGGTCTACATTATTGTTCTCCCATTACATTTGTATGGCTGTGAAGCATGGGCTGTCTGCCAATGGTACCTAAAACAACTGAGGAGGATCTAGCAATGTGTCATGTACTCTATCCTTAGCTTGCAGTGACCAGAAAAAGTCACCTGTTCAGAAGTATTTGATAGAGTCATTCCTTATCAAGGCAATGCTTCTGAAGTAGCATTATTGCCAAACCACATCATTAGGATGGAGGACAAGGATATCTGAAAGCAGATGCTGCTTAGCGAACTTGCCAAATTCTAAAAAGACAACCTGAAGGACAGTCTGCAGTTATATGATATTTTCCCAAACTGAACTTGTTGTCAGTGCCAAAAAAAGCTGACAAGTAAAACATTAAAAAGACACTATATGATGAGTGTTGCAAATGGTCACAAGTAGCCAGAGAACATCACTACAGATTTCCAGTGTTCCATCTATTCAAAACACTGCAGGTCCAGTCAGCAGTACAGCCTTTTAGAATGAGGGACACACACACTTTTGTCAATTTCTTTATGATTGCATATATTCTAATAAAAAATGAAAAAAATCCTGTAGTAAACATTTATTTGTAAGTTGTCAATTCATTGAAATATTTAATTAAAATATATCAAAATAATCATTCATTTCGTTGCAATATTGGAATTCTCTTGAATTTGTAACTTATATATAGTGGGTAACCAAATTTGTCTAATTATTTATCTTATTGAATAAAGAATTCATTTACTATAAATCTAGCATTTTCTTATAGATATGTTTTACTTACTAGATGTAATTTGCATCAACATATTTTTAAAATTGAAAATCAAAAACAAACTTTGTTTAATAACAAATCTAATTATAAGAAAATAATTGTATATCATGAAAATTGAAATATCAGTTACAGCTCATAACATTTTCAAGTGGTAGACAAGAATGTGATATTTTGTAGTACAGTTATTTAAGACAATTTGGACAGTTTTTAAAGAAATCATTCTTTAACTGAATTATCTGATCTAAATAAAATGCATCATTCAATTCTGGTACAATAGAACAGAACAGTGAAATATTTTAAGAAATTTATTCTTAATTTATTCAACACACAAATATTTTGAACATTTTTAGATTTTCATACAATGATTGCTGTTGAAGAAAAAAAAAAAATCTTCCTATTTAACAACTTATGATCACAGAAATCAGTTTGACTTAGCAGTTTATCCAAAGGGATCAGCCAACAATACCCATGCAGCAAGACATTTTCTAGGAATATATTTGTATTTTCCATGAAAGCTTTAAAATTTGTACAAGTATATAATTTTTTAAAGTTCTCAATAACATATCAATATATAATACAGACTACAAATAAATTATTTGAGATTAATCTTTTGCAGACCAAAACTGCTGACTAAATAAACTCCCTTTATTTAGCAGTTAAGATAAATTCATATTTTTTTCAAAAGCCAAAACAATTTTTTAATGCTCTGCAGATTTTCCTTAGAATTTTGGTAATAGAAAAATGTACAAAAGTTTAGAAATATGTATATTGGATATTTCATGTCAAATCATCCAATGGTCCCCAGTTCATTCACACTCTCAGAGTTTCCTGTAAAAAAAAAATATCACAAAGTGATGGA